AGACAGAATATAGCTATATAGTTTTTCCTATTCTCGGTCTCTTCTTTATGCTCTGCTTCGTAGTTATCGCTCCTGGTTGTATATGTGTGTGTGTTGTGTGCGACTGCATACTACGAAGCATAGACACATATAGAATAATTTCGATACTATACCTGTTTGTAGGTAGGAGCGATAGAAGGGTAGAAGAATAAACAGAGATAAGCACGTAGGTATGCGACAAAAATATAAGGTCCAAACGAACCGACGGTCGAAACAAAGAAAAAAGGTGTGAAGTCTGTCTTTGTAAGTTGTATAAGTGTGTAAGTCCTGTGTGAGTCTGGAAGGTATATATATACGTGTCATTTCTTTTCTATTTTTCTATTCTATTTTTCTATTTCTATTTAAAAATGTTTCTATTTTATTAAAAAATTTATATAAAATTTCTTATTTCGCAAATATTATCATTAATAATTATGAAATTTAAAGAATATAATAATTGTATTGTCTGGAATATTTTACAAAAAAAAAAAAATGATTACAAGATACATCAGAGAAAAAGAATTAGAGAACACTGTAGGATACATTAGGAGCAGATGACAAATTCCATTCAAAAGCAAGTAAATTACTGTCACATTTTTATTTTGCTTCTTAATAAAATATATTTGATACCTAAAGATAAACATGTCTATTAAATTTGATTTTTATATGTTTTTATAAAAAATATCCAAAGACATGTACTGACCCATGCATATAAGAAAATTAAATTATTAATTGTGATATTTGCGTATTTAAGCAACTTATACTAACTTTTCAATAAAATAAAAACATTTTCAAGATTTTGAACGCCCAGCGTGAATCGGTGGAGCTTACCACCGGGGCTGAAATTTGAAACTCGTAGTGTACACACGCTCGATAAGCTAAGAGAGCGATACGATTCAATGCATTTTTTAGATTTTTCGTTGTTTAGGTCTTTATTTAGACGAGAGTATTTAGAAAGATAAGTTTGTGGTCCAAAGAATAAAGACGAGATATGTTATAATTAATAAGGGTCTCGAAGTGTGGCAGGCTATAGAGTTGAAAAAACATTTCTAGAGAATATCTCTATTAGATCTCTCATTGCATTTTACCAGAACCTTCGTTCAGTCCAGCAGTATTTTCCATATGTTTTTTGTAAAGTCTTTATTTCGTCTATCCTAAAATGTTTGTTATACAGCGCAAGAATTTAGATGAAAACGGGAAATTGAAAAGCGTACTAACAAAAAAAATTTTATACCTGAGTTTCAAAAAAAGGATTATTTATATTTACTTAATTTCTGACGAATTATATTTCCTTTGATAAACATCCTACGATTTTGGTGTTTATTTATAACTATCGCATTCAGCATTCCATTTTTATTGCTTGAATTTGGAAAAGTGCACTTTTTATCAGCTATTCCACACAGAGACCATACCGGTGACCTTTATTATATATGGTAATNTTATTATTATTATTATTATTATTATTATTATTATTATTATTATTATTATTAATTAGTGTTAGGAATTCGAAAGTTCATTGCCGCAAATATTAAATTCCGCCAGTGTTCCCATCCCTGAGCGCGACCCCTCTATTCGCGGTCTTCGTAGCCTATTTCCTTAAGATCCCTCTTAATATTGTTCTCCCTTCTACATTTCGGTCTAACCAAAATCAATTGATATGCATTTTAAAAACAAATTATATTTTATCTTATCTTCCTTAAAGTGAGGAATAATAGAAAATTATGAACTACATTAGATCCCGAACGCAAAGAACAGGCGGGAAGAAATGTTAAAAATAGTCTTATTATTTAAATGTTTGGTTGAATTGTTACGCAAATAATAAAATATCTGCAATGAAATCTCCTTAATATTTAGGTATTTAATAATAAAATTTGAACGTTTCATTTTAGACATCCTTATATTTAACCGATCATTGAATGAAAACTTGGACATTCTTGCAAGAGGTCAAAATTTCGTTTTATCGTGCGAATTGATACGATAGATCTTCATTAGACTACTGTAACATTGTAACAATGTTATATCGTACAGCGTCTCAGTCGTGTTATTCATCTCTTGAATCTTTTTTCTATACTTATTTTTTCCCATTAATTTAACCATGTTTAATTTTTTTTCGGATCATGATTTTATCATGATTTTAGATTTAACATGTTGATTTGCAATCACTCATGACACCATCATGATTACAAAATAAGTAATTATTGATAAAAACATTTGGAGGTTAATGGTGGACAAGTTTAAAGTGTCGATTCTCGATTGTTTTAGATTGGCCAACTGGCTTTTTGCCAGTAACGCATGAACGATTAGCAATTAATAATATTGTCTACTATTTTGCTACGTTACTTTCACCCTGCTTCTCTATGTTTATTTATTTTTTTTCGCGCGATAAATTATACTGTCATGTTATTTTTTATTTCTTTCGGTTCTGCTTATTAGTCTTGTATTTTTCAAATAATATCACATTTTTTCAAATCTATTTTTCTTTCTTTCTTTATCTTTAATATTGATTTATGACTCTTTTATATGTAACTACATATTTTCTTTATTAAAGAAATACTTTTTCATTTTCTTTGCCCAAAAAAAAAATATAGTAAGATAGTAGTATAGTAGAAAATAAACACCATCTCATATTGGATAATAACACAGCGAACGGCATGTAATAACTCAAGAATTTGCATCCCAATTTCAGACTGTTTTTGAGCGTTACTTCCTTAATTAACTTTTGAATTCATATGCTCGCCATAACATGGCAGATATGTTTAATTTCTCCTCTCATCCGTTTATTACCATGCACCTGCTTATCGATGAATATACATATATAGGTTGCGAAGCAAGTTTACCTACCTGTTGCACGCTCTGATTCATCTATTTGCTCTTCTTCCTCGTTTAGCTTGTTTCTCGGCTTATTTCTCTTTGTTTGGGTTTAAATTTACCTTGAACCAAAGATCTTTTCTTCTATTTTTTCCCCTCTTATCAGTTTTAATTTTTATTTCAACCTACGTTAATGATCTTTTCATGAGAAATAGGAAAGAAAAAAAATTATAATATTCTAAATCCTTAACATCTTATTTCTCTAAATATATTAGAAACAACTTTAAATATTTTTCCAAAGATTGATCGATGATGTATTAGATTAAGAATTAGTGGTTTTTCTTCTAGTTGGATACTTTCATATGTTTAAATGGTTGTACTATGATTATTATAATTTGTAACAAGATTTAATCTTTTCAACGATCTACACAGTTTGCACGGCAATCATTCTGATTTTATGTACGTTCTCTGTAATTATTCTATAGTGAAGTAAAATTACGAGCAATGCGTACGATTCGTTGGATATAAATTTAAAGACACGTCAAAAACATAATTATGAATAGAAAGAATATCTAAGAATATTAGCAAATTTATACCTCATTGGATAAGAGTTTTTCCGTGTATGCATACTCTGTTACTTATGCAATTTTCTTATAATATTTTTATATTTTTCTCTGTCAAATATGAGCTTAGGAAAAAGTATTGATAAATTTTTAATAATCAAAATATTGAAACAAGTGACAAATGTAGATTCGTTGATTCACACAAATGTCTCGATAGTTTTAATCAGTCATTATTTTACTGACAATAAATAAAACTTTTATTTACTGTTGTGAAAAAAATTCAAAAGAAATTAGAAAGTTAGAGAAAGATTAAAAGAAAAAGAATTAAGCGAGCGTTACGGATATATGTCCATTCGTATCGTTGAGCTGCATAATTCCGTTGGTAAAAACTACATATTCTCATCCTTCTTATTAAAATACAATATATATACATATATATACATTAGGGTGGGTCAAAAAAATAAATTATTTTTTTTTCTTACAAGTAACACGGAAAAATGGGTTGCTAGACACCTTAAAAAAATTCTCACCAAATATGAGCTCTTAATTTTAATAGAAAGATCCTCCGCATCGCAGTTTTTTATTTTTTTTCTCAGTCCAATAGAATAAAATTCATACCTCATCATTAATTGATTGTACAGAAAAATGTTCTGGAAGAATCTTGTAGGAAATTTAATGCTCTACAAAAAAGGTATATTATATATTTTTTCCGTAAACCTCACCATTTCAATGATATTGAAGATTTAAGTTTGATTATTTTAAGACAAATTTCATTTTTGTTTATGAATTTTATAACTCGACAATAAATGACTATTATAAAAGGTCCAATACAAATTTTTGTAGGAAATTAACTGCTCTATAAAAATGGTGTCCTATGTTTTGGCGATTAAATTAAGCGTACAAAAGATATTCATCATCAAACTTTTTTGTTAGAGAGCATCAAAAAAATTACCCTACTTGCAACAAAAAATTGTTTGAAAATTAATAACTCAGTTGAAAATTGAAATAAAAAACTTTTGATAAATAATGTACAATTTATTTTTTTAAATGTAGACAGAGATACTTACACATAAAAAAAACTTGAAAAATATTTTGAAGTTTCTCAGTTGATAACAACTAAAATTCGTGTAAATTTTCTCAAAACTTATAAATTCAATTTAAATTGAAATTTCTTGAATATCTAATCAAAAACTTTTAAAATCAGTACACATGAAAGTTTGATGATGAATATCTTTTGAACGCTTAATTTAATCGCCAAAACATAAGACACCATTTTTATAGAGCAGTTAATTTCCTACAAAATTCTTCCAGAACATTTTTCTGTACAATCAATTAATGATGAGGTATGAATTTTATCCTATTAGACTGAGAAAAAAATAAAAAACTACGATGTGGAGGATCTTCCTATTAAAATTAAGAGTTCATTTTTGGTGAGAATTTCTTTAAGGTTTCTAGCAACCCATTTTTGCGTGGCACTTGAAAAAAAAAGTCATTTTTTTGACCCACCCTATAATATACATATATATAAAATATATAGATTTCCTTTCTCTTTCTAACGTTCTTCTTTAACCGCTTATCTCTTTCTCTGTCTCTATACCTTTTTTTCTATCAAACTTGTCATTCTTCATTTCCACTTATTTTTTTATTTCTCTTTTAATATTTTCATTTTGCCAGTTTCGTTAGCGATTAGAAACGGACGAAGACTTTTCGTTTTAATAATCTTCTATCCTTTTCTTTTTTATCTTTTTCATATTCTTTCTTTTACCGACTTTATCAAAATTCCGATTTATTACGATAATAGTAGAATTGTATTAAAGTTCTTTCACACTTAACGATCGATTTATCACAACGATTGGTTGTCGATCAAACAATTGAAGTGGCAACTAATTTTATTGGGTTGTTTAAAAGTTTTATAAATTAATACAAATAGGCAATAACTAAACACTTTCTTGGATGTTGTTCTTATGAAGTAAAACTGACCGAAAAAAAGTAATACTTTTCTCAATCAACCATCCAGTACGATTGGTGAAATTGAAAATAATATTCTACTCGGAGTCAGTTTGATTACAAATCAGACAATTTGTTGCGGTCGTTTGCCATTCCATGTAACTGTTGACTAGTATGTCGATAGTAATTCTGTCGTAGAAAAGCGAAGTGATTGATTCTACATTAAAAATTTTATAACAACTTCTATCTGTCAATCGTTTAATCATTTGCCGTGAAAATACCTTTAAGTATGTTTTGCATTGTTGATGAAAATTATAAGCGACTATTAGATTTAAGAGAATGTATGATTTTACATATTTAGTTGCGATAACTACGAACGATTCACAGCTGACTTTCAAGTCGCCGTGACCAATGGAATACATTGAATCAAGTGCACGCGTTCTCACTATGAACAACTTTCTTGTATGTCTGATATTGAACACTAGCGGATTTAGCTTTCGAGGAGCCAGAGGTTAGCCGATATCAAAATCAGAAATTATTATGTTCATCCTTGTAACATAAACTAAGCTGATTATAGGAATAATGAGTTCTTATATTTTTCTTATTTTTTTTATCTTTTGGAAGTGTTACCCTATCATTATAATTATTTTTTCGATGTACAATTTGTTCTTACAATACTAACCAATTCAAATTGTCGACAATTTATCGAAGCTTCCCACGACTTTTATATTAATGACAGAAATAATATTATATACCAGTGTACAAGATATCTGTTATTCATCTTTGTTTTTCTTCCATGTCTTATTCCTTGTTGTTTCTTTTGCTTTTTGTACATTAATTCTGCATTTCTTAAAAGATAGTGTAGAGACTTTTCAACTATTTATGAGATGCAATTTGTGCTGGCGTAAAGAAGATATCTCAGTATAATGATTGTTATCAAGTTTTATATCATTTTAGAAAAACTCTATTTATTTTTTATAAGATTTTTGAAATTTAAAATATGATAATATGTAACCAGTAAATTGACATAGTTTGAAATGTTTTAGATTTATTGTTGTAACATTATTTGATCGATTGTTATTATTCATCTTTTCGTAAAGATTACAATGAAAATAAATTTTTTTTCAGATTTAATGTTCGTATTTAATAATCATTAAAATGGATTTTTCGGTAAAAAATTTGTCAGCAAATCATTTCGCTGTACTGAAAAGTAATGAGGTCAAATAATTACTGAATAAATTATAATGATAAAGATAGTGAAATTTCTTTCATTATAAACCAATTAAGAACAAAGGATAGTATTCAAAGAATCTTATTTTAGTTAAAAAGATTTCATAACTTGCATGCAAATTCTTCGTTATATACGATGCTCATAAATTGTTTCACTCAATTTTATCAACTTTTTCTATTAATTGTATTGATAAAAGGAATTTTAGATGAGTGCGGATGCATAAATTACATCTCTGTGATATATAACTATTATCGTATAACTCAACATCATAAGATGTAACTCATTCAACTCATATATCGATATTTGCAAGTATCAAGTAAAACGTGCCCATTTTATAAATACCCATATCTTTAGTGAATTGCTATATACAAAATATCCTGTAATGTTGAACGATCTCAACTGAAAGATCATTATTATTCAATGAACAACGACGTCTTGTTTGTCCTCATTCAAATATGAACTCGGCTTCGTTTTTTCCTCATTTTCTTCACATTTTAATTAGCTATTTTCTTAATTTATTTCAATCGTCTTTGAGTCTTAAGAAAGGAAAATATTATTATTCGCAGTAGTCGTACGATGAATGATTTAGTTCCTGTAGAATAAAAATGATGCTGTCTTACACTCATATTCGCCACATGACGAAAGACATTTATCATTTTCCTCAATCTTTTGAAATCGTTTTCTCATAGCATATAAATTAAATAAGATTAACAATAACGTTTATCGTCATAATTATTATTATTAGTATAATTAAGTTAATCAAGGATCTTTACAACTAAACACACCTAATTTATATAAATTAACATAATTAGTAAATTGCATAAAAATATATTATGTATAAAGTGAAACTTTGTATCAATTTTGCAGCAATTCAATCGGTGTCTTTTTACCAAATTTAGTATTTATTTATAAAGTAATCATATATCTCTTATTCTTCGAAATAGTCTCACCACGATCAATTGTTTTCGATGATTTCGGTTCATTTTTCAGGCAACTAACAAATTCCTTGACGTAAAGAAGATAGCGATTTGAATACAATAAATTTAATATCAAATTAATTGTTACATCTAATAATTAATAGAAAATTATCCTCCTCGAAAATTTTAGTTGCAAGGCTGTACATTTTCTTTTGTATTATTTAAATTTTTTTCGAATATTGTTAAGTAAAAATTATATATAGTAAGTTGATAATGTTGATAGAAATAAGATAGATTTATATCGATGACATTTAATTCAGGGACGGATTCTAATGTATTTTTGAATGCATCTTCGGATTCGAACACCAGTAGTACCAACTGGCGTACCGTACAGAGGTGCACACTCTGCCGCAATCACGGTGTTGTCAGTTCTGTTAAGGATCACAAGAGGTTTTGCTATTTTAGAACATGTCAATGTAAATCTTGTTATAATACCCGTAAAAAACGGAAAGAATCGGCGAAAAATACCGCAGATAAAAGGGCAGCTGCCCAAGACAAAAAATATATGGACAACATCCGTGAGGTAAGTAACGTATTGATTCGTTTTTTTATCTATATTCAATTTTATTTCTATTAAAATGTACGTTTAAAGTGTACATTGTTTATTTGTTGACTTAGCTAGTGAAGACGACAATGCCTCCGCAACAAATAAATTATATACCACCTGTTTCACAACCACCGTGGAGCGTCGAAGGCAATTATGTTGGTGATGGCATTAACCATTTAATTAGTACTCCGACTCCGAGAAAGGTGCCAGTTGATCGAATAATACCTCCTTTGATCGATTCGATTCAATCAGAACCTAGTAAGTTGATTTTTTTAATTTTTTATTATTACTTTTTTGCCCTAAGAAACATTGTTTATTTGCTAGTAATCTGTTAACACTTTTAATGTGTATACTTTTCATCAAGAGATAAATTTTTAATTTTTGTTATGACGAGTATACTTGTCATACGAAAAGAAAACTACTTTTTGATATTTTAATGAAATCTAAGGAATATTAATCAATTGCAAAATTTTAAAGTATTTGCGATAACAACAAATTAAAAGGATTTGTGTCTTGTTCTGTTTTGTATTTGGAATTTCTCGAATTTTGTCTTGAAATTTCATTCGAAATATTATTAATAGTATATGCCAAATATTACAAAGTTTTTGTTTCTTTTCATGTTCCATTCATTAAATAAATATAATTTAATTCTACAACAATTGCACATACATATTCTGTGCCTGACAAGTATATTAATCTCTTAATTTTTTATTATAAAGCAAAAATATATATTTTGAAAATAGAGCTACGAAGCTTAACAAGTAAATTAAATACCTTAAATAATCGAGAAGATTGAGAAATTGAAGATATGTTTTTATAAATAGAGATTCTGAAGAGTGAACAATCGGTTTTAATTCGTGCGGAAGTTCCAAACCGTGCTCCATTCGTGCGAGTTTGCTGAAGAGGGAGGGTGCACACTTATAACGTCGTTCACAGTGATCCCAACGAAATTCAAGCCACTCTTTCACTTGACAACCCAACCGAATGTTAACCCTGCTTTTACGAGCGTCTTCATTGGCTGTGGAGTCGTTCGAAGCCGGCTAATATAATACGAACTTATAACCAAAGCCGAAACCTAGGAGTCTCGATTTTTACTTTTACGAGCAGGCTCGTTTTTAAAAGTTATCGTTATTTTGCTCGTTCTCGGTTGAAATAGTTTGTTCACGGACATATAAATGACCTCTCGAAGAAGTAGCAAGCGTGGAACCCGTATAGGATGGTGGCTTCGTCACGATGTCATGGAATCTTCATTTCAAAAAGATTCTTTCGATGGATTAAGTGTCCTTCCATGAATATCCTCCTTTCTTCTTAATAATTAGAAATTACCAAGCATGTTTCATAAATCTTCTTGTCACATATTCAAGATTTTATTAAAAGTAATATGACCAATTGAATAAAAACTTGTTAAACAAAGTTGAATTTAAGAAATGAACATTTCATAGATTCATCTTTTAAGTTTTAAGCATTTGCAAATGAAAATATATCAGTTTACCTTGTATATACTAATGAAGTAAGAGAGGATCATTCAACGTTATACTTAAGCAAAATATTTTCAGATTTTTTCCGTCTGGTTTGTTTTTGGTCTTTAAATTAAGTATCGGAAGAGATTTTATGATAGCTGTTCGTATGAACCCTCGTAAATGGCTAATTGATTTACAGTCGACGCATTTCCACAGATTCACGATGATGAAATTAATGTGAGGTCACGATGTCTCCGTTTTTGACATCGTCGGGCAAACGTAGATGTAGGTGAAGTACTAATAGTAGCAATAGTAATAATATTAATAGGAAAAGTTACATGAACGTCGATAATACGTTGAAAGGTGAAACAGAAAGAAAAGGAACATTGTTACTTTGAAGTGTGCTGGTTTTATATGTGTAATAATTGAATGTTTGTGTGTATATGGGGTAGAGTTAAATATGAACGCTTGCTAGTGTTAGAAGGGTGTCGTCGCAGAGGAGATGAGAGAATTTGAGCGCGCGAGGGGTGATTACGAGAAAGTATATGGGACTGTAAAGTTTCCATTTACGAGCTTACATTTCGAGGCATCGAGTAGGCGCTTTTAACCCTTTCGCTACTACGAGCGACTATAGTCGCTCTCCATGTGATGCCACTCAGGTACTACGGGCGACTATAGTCGTTTTCCATGTGATGCCACTCAGGTACTACGGGCGACTATAGTCGCTTTCCATGTGATGCCGCTCAGGTACTACGGGCGACTATAGTCGCTCCCGCTAAAGATGTCGCGTAATTGTATATATGATAAGCGC